TAGGGGTTTATCAGAGTAACAAATGGGAAATAGATCAAAGAAAACCACTGACTACATAACAAACACCAGTAATGGTAACATGACACTGTTATATTACTGAACAAAGTTACATTACTGACAGCATGTGACATCTGTCAAGTAGCAGAGTTCAAGTCAAGTAGTAGGGAAAGAGCTTTGGGACGGTTATGAAGTAGCGCCTGCTGATAAGCGTTGCTGTTTAGATTCTGAGACGTTTGCAGACACAGACACACAGTCTCGCTCCATCTCACGCACACATACACACACAAACAAGCATTCAAAGCACATAATCCTATATTTATGAAACAGCAATACAACTAGGGCAGAGAGCTCTGCTGCGTTCCCCCGCGAGCCTCGCGTCTTCTTCAAAGCACACCCAGCACACACGAGAACAATAAACAAGCCAGAAATAACTGACAGCCCACATAATGTGTGCGATAATTAAAACCCGCTCGATCAAACGGGCGCTGGTCAAAGACACACGGTGAATTGTTTCCGAAACAAGTGTAGCTGTCAATGACATGCAAATAAAGCAAAGGCTTAAAACATCACCCTCATCAAATACCACCATTATTAAGTTCATTCCTTGCGTGAGTCTAATAGGGAGCCAAATATTGTCATAGTTCATTAGCTTTCCGCAAACGCCACGACTTGGAACAGTCCCAGATCTGTCTGAAAAAGTCCTTTGACTCGTAAATGTAATTACGAGCCAACAAGACCCGTCTTTAGCTCTTTAACGTGTGTCAAGTCGCTTGGATGCTGCTGATCTGAAGTGGTTTGTTTGTGTGTTGGCGTGCTCGGCCTGCTCCGAAGCGTACCGGCTCTGCTCGGAGAGTGAGGCTTTTTAAAGTGTTTTAAGTCTCGTCTACTCATTTTTACGATTTTGTTTTAACTATTATCTACAGTTTTTGTGATGTTTTACTCCGAACTGGCAGAGAAAGGATGCTGTTGGTCTTTTCTGCTGAGAGATTTTTTCAAATAACCTTTTTTCTGTTTTTTCCTCAGTTTGATTTGGCCAGTTCTGCCCAAGTGCCAATCACACTTGCGTTCCCTCCCTCACGTAAAGTGACTGATCTCCTGCTGCTCTGAGTCCCAAACAATACTCCCAGCAAGTAGCTAATTTAAGGTTTTTGTGCCAGTCACCCATCCCTCTGGTACCGGTGACGGCCGCAAGAGGCGGCGGGGTGCCCAAACCCTCCGGTCCCGCAGCGAGGCCACTTCACTGCACCTCTCGTTTAGTACCAGCGGGGAAGACTTGGAGCAGGGGCGGTGACAGGGAGGCGCAGCGACAAGCTTTCTTACCCTGTAGGCTCAGGTGTCCTTAATGCGTTGGCAGCATGGGCACCTTTAAAAGAGCAGAAAGGTAAAAGAGAGGGAGGAGAGGGACGAGCAGCAGCAGAAACAAACTGACGAGCTGACGGGTTTTGAAACCTTTGCAGGATCCTATGAAAAGTGATTTACTTAATTTACGTAAGTGACCTCTTTTTCAGAAGCACGGTCCAGTAGTTAGCCACACACTTACAAAAGATGGTTCCTCAGGGATTCTTTAGTAAAGAACATGGTTCTATATAGAACCATGAACACTCAAAGAATCCTTTGCATGATTACAGGTTTTTTGCATCATGAAATGCATCATTGATGGAGAAGGTGCTGTGGAACCTTTCTGAACAGAGTTCTACATAGCACCAAAAAGGGTTCCTCTATTGTAACAAGCCTGACATTGAAACAATGAAGAACACTTTTTGGGGCTACGTAGAACTCTTCTCAGAAAGGTGCTATATAGAACCATCCACAGCACATTCTCCATTGATCTGAAGAACACTTTCACAATCCAGAGAACGCTTTATGTATAGAAAGCGTTCTTTCAATATTCGTGGTTCTGTTTAGAACCATTTTACACAGCAAAAGCTTGTTGTTCATTTTATACTTTTTGCTCAGTATCAAGAAGAGCAAAGTGGTCTATTGTCCTGCAGGGGGGCTCAAATGTATAGGGCTTGGCCACACCGATTGGTGGTATCGCTCCCCACTGCCACTTGCGCTGAGTTGTTTACATTGCATGGGAGACACCACTGTCAATCATTTTGCATTCTGACATGGCCACAAAATCAGAGGAGCAGCTCGCAAGGTAACAAGTCCAAGAACACAAGTCTGTTCTTCACCTTCTTGGTATTGAGAAACACCCAGAGTGATTCAGGGAGGTTTGGTGTGAAATGGTTCAGATCTCTTTGCAGTGGTGGTGATAGGAACCAGGGGTCGCCATGACTACAACACAAATATAGACATTTTATTTACTATCCAAAACCACCAGTGAACCTACACGAGTCTTCTGAGTTTATATGGAATATTGATGATGGTAAAATAGTGCTAAATCTGTAAAAATGAGATTTCTTTGGGGACTATTTTGCCTCACAACGTCTTTCATGTACCCCTCCACTACAAATGTGTGGAGCCCTGCTGGTGACATCCCGTATAAATAAAAATAATGCGTGGCCACTCCGTATTAACGCTTGGGTATAAGATCCTACTGCGTGGCCACGACTTAGTAAGGCATGGGAACAAGGTCATGCCTTGTTAAACTGTGGTCAAGGCTTAATTATCTCATTCCCAAACCTTACTAAGTCACGACAATGCAATAGGATCTTGTCCCTATGCCTTACGAAGTTGTGGCCATGACTTAATTATCTTATTCCTACACCTTACTAAGTTGTGGCCACGAAGTAGGATCTTGTCCCATGCCTTACTAAGAAGTGGCCATGACTTAATTATCTTATTCCCATGCCATACTAAGTCGTGGCGAAGCATTATGTTAAATTATACGGGATGTCACAAGCAGGGCTCCATATGAATGTGCTAAAAAATATATCGCTGTTGTTAGAAGAAAATCTTGTGTCTCCAAAATGGTAACTTTACAGGAGAAGGAAAAAACCTACTTTACTTTCAATGTAAGTCAATGGAACCAGAATTTTTTCCGAGTCATTTTAGGTCATTTCTTTTAGTCAATTCATCATGACATTTACATACAATGTAAAGGACTACCGGGATTTTCAAATTATGTCAAGAACTGAAAAATGTCAAAAATGGAGAACAGCGATGTGTTCTAGACAAACACTTTCTCTCAAATCTATCGTAAAACAATGTCTCAGGCATCATGCTTCACGTTCACAAACGTTTTTTGTAATAACTTCATCTGAGGGAGCTTTTAGAAGCATTAAACTCTTCAGAACTGAGCTCTAGTTCAGACATTTCATTGATTCTTGTTCATCTTCTACTGAATTTTCCTCTCTTCAGATAATTATTTTGGAGAGGTAATGGACTTGTCTGCTGACCCCCTGCTGAGGATTTGCCTCTGTTTTGGAAAGGTCCAATAAAGTCACATTCCTCCTCCACTAATTTCCACAGAAACGTGAAGTGCTGCTGTAACCTCAAAGGTCTAGTTTGGCTTTCATGCTTGTGAATCCACTTTAATCAGTTTTTACGGTGCAGCCACGGTTTCAGGATGGTGCACGTTTCGGAGATTTTAGAGTGTGCAGGTTTCAAATGTTCAGTTTAATAAAGTTGATAATGAGAGCGCATTCAGATAATCACTTTCAAACCGCACTGCTGTGAGTGCTCAAACGGTTCTCCCATCATCCCATCCTGGGTCTCCAACGTGAAATGATGAGCGGCACGATGCTGTTGTTTTCTTCTGATGCCAGTGCTGTTTTCCTGAGGTGGTGCTTAGTCTTGAGGCAGCGCCACCTTGGGCATCACACACTGCTTGGATTTTATGCCTTGCAGTTCAGATTCAATATTGAGGCAGTTTCCTGCTGACCTTTTAAGGCCGATCAATGAGATACACCGTTGGATGTGATGTGGCAAGAAGCTAATTCTCTTTTGTGAGTTCAGACCATGTCTCCAGCATGGAGGTGGTAGAATGAGGGAAGACTGATTGAGGGAGTGGGGAGAACTCTGAGAACTTGAGCTGGAGTTCTGGGGCTTCTGCCTAGAGCTAGAAGGCCAGACCCCCTCATAGCTGTAACAGGACTGATGTAGGACTGAGGAACAGGAAGGAAGTGGGGTGGCGGTGGGGAGTGTGAACACTTTGTCACGGGAACGGAAGGTGAGGGTGTGAATTTCTAGGGCATTAGATGAATTAATTAATGCCACTTAAAAATTATGGTTCTTCAAGGGTTCTATAGTAAAGAAAATTGTTCAGTAAAGAACCATGAACACTTCAAGAACCTGTTGCATGATTAACAGGTTCGTCTATTGTTACGATGTCAAGCTTGTAACAGTAGAAGAACCTTTTGGGTGCTATATAGAATCTTTTTTTTTCGAAAAGGTTCTGTATAGAACCATCTTCAGCACATTCTTCATCAATCTTTCATGATGTAAAGAACCCTTTAATCATGAAAAGGGTTCTTTGAGTGTGCGTGGTTCTACGTTGAACCATTTTCTTTGCTAAAGATTCCTTGAAGAATATCTTTTTGAAGTCTGTAGTCTAGTTAGTTGTAACAACATCAAACAACACCTTAGCAACCACCTGGGATTCTGTAGCAATGGCCTAGCAACACCTTAGCCACCACCTGGCATAGCCTAGCAGTGCCCTAGCAACACCTTAGTAACCACCTGGGATAGCATAGTAATGACCTAGCAACACCTTAGTAACCACCTGGGATAGCATAGTAATGGCCTAGCAACACCTTAGTAACCACCTGAGATAGCATAGTAATGGCCTAGCAACATCTTAGTAACCACCTGAGATAGCATAGTAATGACCTAGCAATACCTTAGTAACCACCTGGGATAGCATAGTAATGACCTAGCAATACCTTAGTAACCACCTGGGATAGCATAGTAATGGCCTAGCAACACCTTAGTAACCACCTGAGATAGCATAGTAATGACCTAGCTCCTGAACGACAGCGAAACCACATTTCACCCTCCCATTTACCCAGAAGTAATCATAAGAACAGGCTGGTGATCTCTGTCTTCCCCTGCAGGTCTGAAGATCCGTGAGGTGATGATCAATGTGTCTCGGCAGCAGGTGGAGGATTTCCACGGTCCTGAGGACTACTGGTGCCTGTGTGTTGCCTGGAGTCACCTGGGCACCTCCAAGAGCCGCAAGGCCACTGTCCGTATCGCATGTGAGTGTCAGCATACATCAGTCCGTCTTTTAAAAAGCTACGGACTGTATACAGATATTTTAGTGAAGCTTTTCCAACATATACTCTCACTGGCCACTTTATTAGAAACACCAACCTTGTGCTTCCACTCACTGGCCACTTTATTAGAAACACCCACCTTGTACTTCCACTCACTGGCCACTTTATTAGAAACACCCACCTTGTAATTCCACTCACTGGCCACTTTATTAGAAACACCTACCTTGCAATTCCACTCACTGGCCACTTTATTAGAAACACCCACCTTGTACTTCCACTCACTGGCCACTTTATTAGAAACACCCACCTTGTACTTCCACTTACTGGCCACTTTATTAGAAACACCTACCTTGTGCTTCCACTCACTAGCCACTTTATTAGAAACACCCACCTTGTACTTCCACTCACTGGCCACTTTATTAGAAACACCCACCTTGTACTTCCACTTACTGGCCACTTTATTAGAAACACCTTGTGCTTCCACTCGCTGACCACTTTAGGTCCACTATATAGATGGACAGTTTCTCAGCCGTGTACCATTTATCATTGGTCAGTTTCTGAGCACAGGACTGCTGTTTTTTTCTTAGACCTGAGGAAGAACTTCGAGCAGGAGCCGCAGGGCAGGGAGGTGCCAATCAAAGGCATGATCGTCCTCCACTGCCGCCCACCAGAGGGGGTGCCTCCAGCTGAGGTCAGTTCAAACGTCACTGAGCCCCCTGTTTGTGTACATACGGATGTTCGGACATAATTTGAGATATTTTAAGATACTTGACATGACGAAACAGTCGTGGGTTCTCCGAGTGGTCATGTGCTCCAGTGGAACGTGTTTTGTCCTGAGAGAGAGTGTTTGAGGAGTGTGACCCACATTAAAGCCTTCAGAGCAGCACTGCATTATCACACAGGAGCACAGGGTGATTATTTATTCAGCAGCCTGAGAATGATGCTCTCTCGCTCTCTCTCTCTCTCTCTCTCTCTCTCTCTCTCTCTCTCTCTCTCTCTCTGTCTCTCTCTCTCTCCGTTTACCCCTCTTTCTCTCTCTCTGTCTCTCGCTCTCTCTTTCTCTCTCTCTCTCTCTCTCTCTCTCTCCCTTTACCCCCTCTTTCTCTCTCTCTTTCTCTCTCTCTCTCTCTCCCTTTACCCCCTCCTTCTCTCTCTCTCTCTCCCCCTTTACCCCCCCTTCTCTTACTCTGTCTCTCTTCCTCTCCCTCTACTTTATCTATCTATCTATCTATCTATCTATCTATCTATCTATCTATTCTCTCTCTTCTCTATCTCTCTATCTCTCTTCCCTCTCCCTTTTATCTCTCTCTTCTGTATCTTTCTCTTTTCTCTATCTGTCTCAGTCTCTTTTTCTCTCTTCACTTTTTCTCCTCTCTCTTTCATACCATTTCTATCAACGTCTTTATCTATCTCCCCTTCTCCCATCTCTTTGTCTCTATCTATCTATCTATCTATCTATCTATCTATCTATCTATCTATCTATCTATCTATCTATCTATCCCTCCTTTCTATTTCTGTCTCTCTCTTTCTTTTCTCTCTATTTATCTGTTTCTCTGTGTCTTCGGTATGTTTGTATGTTTTTCTCTCTTCTTTCTTCTTCTTTTCTCAATATCTGTTTATCTCTCTTCTATCTCTTTCTCTTCCCCTTTTCTCTTTCCCTCTCTCTCCCATGTCTCTTTCTCTCTCTCTTCCTTTCTCTCTCTCTCTCCCTCTCTCTCTCTTTCTCTTTCTTTCTCTCTCTCTCTCTCTCTCTCTCTTCCCAAACCCCCTCCCTCTTACTTTAATCCAAACTCAGCGATCTTCAGTTCAGTGTGAGTGAATCAGTATCGATGCTCAACAGATTTTGAGTCTGCGATTTGAGAACCAGATAAGGATTTTTGTTCCTGGACAGAGATCGGTCCGCCGCTTTCATCCACCTTTGATCTTTTTTTCCTGCTCTCAGTTCAAAATCTCTTTCACAGAATTTGAGATGAGCTGTTAACCTTCAGAGTTATTACTATCGAGCGTGCAGTGCTTTCAGTTCTGCGTTTATGTTTGTTTTGCATTCTCTTTCAAACATGTTCTAGTCTGAACTTCTGACTTCTCCTCACAAAAACAGGCAAAAATATGTGAAGGATGTTATTTTCTTTCTGCAGAACAAGACTGCACTCGGCAATAACTCTTCATTTCATAATTAATATTCAAATCATAATAAAACATCTCCTCCTCTACCTACAGACACGAGTATAGAGGCTGCATTTTCCATTCTCCACTTATTTCATAAGACGAAGATCAATAATTTGGAGATTAATGGACTTATTTGTGTTTATAATCACTCCAGCTGGTTTCCTGATACGTTTAATCTGCAATGAGAAACTATCAAACACTGAAGTCACGAGACCGAAGTCAGTTTCTCGTTCGCCAGGTTTTTGTCCGAATTTTCCCGTTCCACCTTAAATGGTGTTACAGTTAGCTACATAGTTAACTACATTCTGGCGCCTCAGGCACCATTTAAGGTGGAACGGGAAAATTCCAACAAGAAGCTGGCGAATGAGAAGCGACTTCAGCCTCATAAAAAGTCGAATATTAAGAGACATTTTACAAGAAACTGTTCAACTTTTGAGGAAAATTTCCTGAGATGCGAGAAAAGCTGAGCTAAAACTTACAGTTGAGCAAAGTAAGCCTCCATTTGTGTTTATATTATATTTTTTAGCCTATACTACAACATTGGCACATCCTGATACATACTTACAGCCAAGATGGTAAAACATTACTTCAATAAAAAGGACATGAAATGTCGAGGCTCCCAAGGTGGTTAGATTTTTGTTAAAACTTGACAAAATGGCTCTTCTTAACATTTGGCTTGCCGACCCCTGACTTATTTTAACAAGCAAGTCAGAAGTATTAATAACAACAAGTAAGGAAATAGCATGGGCACCCAACTGCCATCACGCCACAGTTCGGGTCATTTGCGCTGAATGTCCTCCCTCAGATGCTTTAGAACAGCCGACATTGACAGTTTTACCCCGGAGGACGAATTCACAGCACACAACCTCGTGAATGTGGATGAAAACGGCGAGCATGCTCTTATTCGTGCTCCTGAACTGATGCACCTTCTTCGGTCTTGGAGACTGTGCGCTCCTCCACTACGAAGACCCGACTCTGGTCTCTGGTGATGATCCTCAACATGAAGATCGGGTCGTCCCAGTCCTGTTGACGGAGATCTTGGAGGTGCCTGTTAAAAGTGGAGATGTTCCTGTTCCAACGGATTTTAACAGTTTCCTCGACGGTGAGCAGACGAGCCTGACACACAATTGGTTCAATTTCTTGGATGTTTTCAGGGGTTGTGCTGGTGGGGGGTCACCCTGACCTCTGATCGTCCTCTAGTGACATTCTGCCCATCTTGAAATGTGAATGCCACTCAGAACACCTCGTCTTGCTCATGGCTTCATTGTTTCATTGCCATAGACTTTGGCATTCTTAAGCATTTCCATCGCCGCTTTCCCGAGTTCGACACGGAATTTGATGTTTGCTCCATGGTGAAATCACAAATGCACACCTGCAAGTGATCAAAAAAATGGATATACACAGGTCCTGATATTGATCACGTGACATACCGTGGGACACTGACCCACAAAAGTTGTTGCTCGCACCTGCTGCATGTGTATTACCATGCCATGTTCTGTTCCTTCGCAACAGGAACAGTCTCAGAACTTCCTGCTCGCACCTCATAAGGGACTATTCCATGACAGATCTTTTACAGTGCTGTCGTGTAACAACATGGAATAGTGTTGATATGATATTGATGTTGATAAGACAAGTATTGAAAAATTATTAAGCCGATAACCCACACCAGTGGGTTCCCAAACTTTTGCAGCTCATTGCCCACACAACTGACCGCAAAAGATTCAGCAGCCCACAAGAAGATTTAACCAGTCTTACTTTTTCATATGCAAAGACAATAATCAATGTAGCCTGCTGAATTTCTTTCGACTGTACAATCACACAACAAAATAAACAAAAAGTTTGGTTTGTAGCCATTTATCAGTGTTCAATGAACTACATACATGCAGGGAGATTCACTCGAAAGAGGCCCCGAATATTCTGCTGTAACTCCCATTAGGATGAAGCAATCTGAACCAAAAAAATACGCCTCATACCTTGATGTGTGTGTAATCGATTACATTTTCAGACGGCCTCCACCATGAGAAGGAATCAATGATCCTTTCGTTTCCAGTTTCCGTACCATCTTCTGAATAACACTCTTTGAGGGTTAATCACGAACACCATATTTCTTCCTAAATTCACTCTGACACTGCTCAAACGAACTGGTGACCCAATAGGTTTGCACCATGAAGACGTGCTGCTCAATACTGTACACCACCATCCTGATGAGAAGTCGAGTGACTGAGTGAAGGAGTACGGGGGTTTGCACCCGGAAGTTGCAAACAGAGGTTATACATCGCGATGGCTGTCCGGCGCCTACCTCATCGCTAAGACGCAGCGGCATCCCAGCTTGTTCGAAGCTCCATATACTGAGGAGCACATTGCACGTTGTTTCGTTCAGATTGCTTCATCCTAGAAAGAGATATTACAGAAAATTTGGGGCCTCTTTCGAGTGAATCTCCTTGTATAAACATAACCAAGTGGCTTTGTCAGTTACTATGTCATGTGTTTTTGCCTGACCAAATTATGAGCTGGACCTAAATAAGATGTTTTATCTTTTGAACAATTTTCTCAACAATAGTATTTGGATAAATATCTACATATTGCAATAACATTTTATGTTATGTTATGTAATAAATCACCAATTGCAGTTCTAGCAGTTCCACCATGACCCACTAGGGGGCTGCAGCCTACAGGTTGAAAACTACCAATCTACATTATGGAGAGGAGGTTCTTCTATGTGATTTTCTATGTGTTGAGAGGGAAAATCTAACAAAGGTATACAAGTAAATAGGCAGGAAATCAGAAAGTTTGTCGCTGCACATGTAAAGTTAACGTTGTTCCACGTTCCACAGTCAGAACAGAGAGCTGTGCAGCCTCAGCCGTACATAAGGCTAGAACTGATGTTAGCATAGATAGCTTTAGTGTTATTAATGACTCAAAATTTACTAATTACTCTCAAAATGTCATGAATATGTTACTTACTGTTTGCAGGAAAAAGTCATCTCAATACTCGTTACTTCTACGCTAATCTATACCAAATTATCTCACAGTGTTGAATGATACTGTTTGTTTCAAGTGTTATTTCTCAAAACAAGCAACATGAGCTGCCAATACAGTGAGATAATTCCACTTAAGTAAAAAATACATTACATAATCTACTATTGTGCAGTGGGTAGCGCTGTTGCCTCACTGCAAGAAGGGTCTGGGTTCGATTCCCCGGCCAGGCAACCAGGGTCCTTTCTGGAGTTTGCATGTTCTCCCTGTGTCTGTGTGGATTTCCTCCCACAGTCCAAAGACATGCAGTCAGGCCAGTTGGAGAAATTGACCCCTAGATGTGAATGTGTATGTCTGTGTGACTGCCCTGTGATGGACTGGTGACCTATCCAGGATATTTCCTGCCTTCCACCTGATGAATGCTAGGATAGGCTCCAGCACCCTCCGTGACCCAGAAACATAAGTGGCTTAGAAGATGGATGGATGGATATTCTTATAGCAATTTCAAAATGAAGAATATCAGATGTAATCACGAGATTTAGGATGATT